ATCCTCACAACTGTACCAATAAACAGCATCATGATAAGTGGAGAAAAGATTGAGGTTGTCAAAGATTTCATATTGCTTGGTTTCACAATCAACACCAATGGAAGCAGCAGTCAAGAAATCAGATGACACATTGCACTAAGCAAATATGCTGCCAAAGACCTCTTTCAAGTGATGAAGAGCAAAGATATCTCCTTGAATACTAAGGTGCACCTAACCCAGGCCCTGGTATTTTCAATTGGCTCTTGTGCACATGAGAGCTGGATTGGACAATGAATAAGGATGACCAAATAGTTCATGCTTTTGAGTTGTGGTGTTGAAGAAGAATCCTAAGAGTACCATGGTCAGCTAAAAGGACTAACAAATCTGTCCTGGAAGAAGTGCATCCAGAATGCTCCTTAGAGCAAGAATGGCCAGACTTCATCTCACTTACTTTGGTCGTGTTGTCAGAAGGGACCATTCCCTGGAGAAGATATCATGCTTGGTCAAGTGGAGGGTCAACGAGAAAAGAGAAGGCCTCTCAATGGGATGGATTGACATAGTGGCTACAATGATGGCTCAGGTATAGCCAGGATTTGGGGGCTGGCACAGGACTGGGCAGTGTTCATTCTGTTGTACATAGGGTCACTATTATTACTATTAGTCAGAACCGATTTGACAGTCCCTAACAACAAAAGAACTTCCCTTTAAAAAAAAAAAAAAAAACCACCAAACTCATTTGATTCTGACTCATAGTGACCCTAATAGACCCCAAAATCATGAATATGGTCTGTGAGTTCTGTGTGGCCACTGCAGTGAATTATCAAACTCAGCAGAGAAGTAGAGTGCTGTAGGAGGGATGGCTGGTGTTATAATTGGTAAAAAGGTTGAAGAGAGGAGGTATGTCTGACCTCCAGCTCATGGGAAGAATCTGATGGTGGTGATTATCCTCCCCTTTCATGAAGCATAAGGAGCTCTAGTGCCTAAGGCATCTGACTGCTAATGAGAAGGTCTGTGGTTCAAGCCAACCAGCCACTCCATGAAAGCAAGACTGGGCAATCTACTTCTGTAAAGATTTACCGTGTCAGAAACCCAATGGGGGTCACTATGAGTCTGAAAATCTACTTGATGGCAGTGAGTTTGGTTTGGTTTTTTTTTTTATGAAGTGTGAGGACTTGATGCCACCCACCATTTTACAATTAGCAAATATTTATTTATGGAATAAAAACTTTTATTTATAATTATGGAAATGGTAAATGTTTTGTTCAATGTTACCCACAAATATAAATTTAAGTTTGAACAGCATTTTGATAGCAACAAGAGTAACAAGCCAATTGCAGTACTATGGACTTGATTCAATTCCTAGAGAAATAAGCATATGCATTATCAAAGCATAATTACACTTGGCATTAAATGGCTTCCCTGCATATGCCTTCCTGACAACAGAATAGTAAAAGTTCCATAATATGGTAACAGCGACTCCCCTTTTTATCTCTCAGGCCTGTTCTTCCTAGCTCAAGTATGACATTTGCTTAAAAGATTAAACCAGTCCCATTTCTAAATGAACATGACAGCTGGACGGCTCATCAATGATAAACATTTTATTGGAATATAGTCACTTGACAGAGTAAATATATGATTACAAAGTGTTTTATTTGCTTTATATCATGACCAGAAAAAAAAATCAATCTACAGACAGTATAATTTTTTTTTCCATTGAAGTTCCAAACTTCACCAGGCAAGCCCCCAAACCCTTCTGTATTAAGTAAAGTAAGACACACATCACAAACTTTTTCACCTAGTGAAACCAGGGATGTCCTTCCTTTCTGCATATTAAAATTGTTATCTAGCATATATATCATCTGGTACTTCTTAGAATGAATTAAAATCCCATTTGTCTGGACAAATTTTTGAAGCCCTTTGGTATCAGTGACTCCAATCCAAAGGAATATAAAACCATGAGATCAGGCCTAAAGACCTGCAGCTGTTCACAGTCAGCCTCTTTCTAAAGCATTTGGCCAAATTGGAATCTTATCCTTGTGGACTCCGTTCTTTTAAAAGAGTTTACTGTGCATAATGCAAGGCACTGCTGCTTCCACTCAAGTTACAAAGGAGAAAACGACAAAATGATTTTTCTTCAAGGAAAACACTCTTTCTCTGTGAAAGGTCAGTATTACTATAACTAGTTTAAGGTCAGAGTTTTTGCTAAAAAACATGTCTCAGAGTTTTATGCATCTCTAATGCATTTGCCCATAGGAGAGAGAGAGTTCTCACAATAAAACTGCTCCATTCTGGAAACCTCTGAAGCAACAGATATGAGTTCACATTAAACACAAAGTAAACTCCTGGTAATATGAAGTTTGTTCACTGAACATGTAAAAACAAAGACTATTATAAATGCATTTTAGCTTTCTAGTCCATCTTTAAATGGAAAAATCATCCTGCTTATTCTAGTGAGCTTGACTTTTGTAAAATATGCACATAAAAATTTGTCAACTGTGTTCTTTAGTACTTCCTCCCAATTGATGTCCAGTCCTGCTCTGGCCTAGAGGATGAATGAAAGAAGGGCACTGAGGCTCAGCATGCAACACAGTGAAGCACACTCTCTTTTAGGGTTGGAAGAATCTCTTTGAAGTTGTAAGAACCCCTGATGTGGACTAGGGGAGGAGGCTGTGAAGCTCCAGAGTAGGGGCCACCTGAACTAGGACCTCCCCATTAGCTGAGATGCCCCTAGAGAGAAGGCAGGTCTTGGAGGGCTGGATACTACTCCTTTGGCTCCTTGCTGTGCTGGGCAGTGCATCTGGTCACCTGGCCATCTTCCCCTTGGGCTTTGGACTTTGAGGGAAGACTCACCCGTGGCAGAAAGCCTAATTAAAACTGCCCCTGCCTGACAGCAACACTCAAATAGCCCAAACACAGCCGTGTTCGGTATTTCCTGAGTAGCCTGACATTTGCCAGTGGTAGGCACTGGGGATATTAAAGTGACTTGAGGAATCAGGAAGCCACTATTCAAGGCTGTAAGTTTCTAGCCAAAAGTATATATGATGACTAAAACCTAGTTTCTGTCCTTGAAGAAAGGAGCTCCTGGAAGAGACAGGAAGGAAACAAAATTTATTTTCTCTGTGCTAAGTGCAAGGAGCTCTGGTAGCATATGCCTAAGGCACTTGACTGCTAACCAGAAGGTTGGGTTCTAACCCACCAGCCACTCCTCGGAAGGAAGGTTGGGCAATCTACTTCCGTAGTGATACTGCCTTGGCAACCCAAGGAGGGGTCGCTATGAGTCAGGTGCAACTTGATAGCACATAACAACAACTACAAGTCCAAGGATAGGAGGAAGCAGTAGGTATCGTCTTTATCCCTGATGGGATCCTTCAGACTTGAGGACCTAATCATTCTAATTAAGAACAGTTGAAACAATTCAATATGAGAGAATGCTGATATCAATTATTTTTCATCCCTTATGAAAAATCCAAGAAATTCTTCATGGGTGGGGTGGAAGGGGAGATATTTTAATTTCTGGTTAAAGGATTGAACGGTGGGACAAATTCTTTAAAGAAGTGCTAGAAACTTAATTGCTGGTGATGACCAAAACAAGCTCTTAGGACAATATGTTGGCATCTGATATTAAAACTTGTGGAAGCAAACTGTAAAATGTAATACTTGGGACTGAAGCTTTTAGGCAATAATCTAGTAGTTGTTTTGTTGTTGTTTCCTGAAGAACAATAGAACACAACTTTTAAATCTTTTGCAAGTAAGACTACTGCACCTCTAACATTAATGGTTATAGATTTGACATTTAGAAGCTGTATTTGTGTCCACTAATGTATAAATTCCAGGAGGAAGGGGCAGAGTCTTTTCATAACGGTACGCCCAGTGCCTAATGCAAAACAGAGACTCAACTAACTCGCTGACCGACTGAACAAACGATTTCCACTTTTGGTAACATCTTTGACTCTTGATGTTATATGCCTTGACGTTATTTTTTCCCAATTCATGTTATCTTCTGGCAATAAATAAAATTATTTCAATGAAAAGATAGAAAGCTGTGTCATGGTTTGAAAATTGGCATTTTCTTTTCTTCTAGATTAAATTCCCTTGATCTTTTTTACACCAGACAATATGCCTTATCTTTTTAAAATTATTATTATTATACCTAACACAGTACAAAGCATATAGTAGCTGTTCAAATAATGTTTGTTTAGTTAGTAGGCTTTAAGCGCTATCAGTAGTTAAGCTTTTTCTCTGCACAGTCTAAGATTGATTTGGAATGCTTTCAGGCTTAAATATGCCAATGAAATTATCTTGCCTCACCTGAATGTCTCCAAAAGGTGATTGGTTAATAAGGATCAACAAGATTAATTAACACTATTAATTATTAAATTGATAGCAGAATTAATAACAAGCTTGGACAGCTCCATAGACTATAAGCTTCCTCTGTTTCAGCTCAGATTCTCGAGATTCATTGGCATGATTGGCTCTGCAGAGCTACGCACAACAGGGGTGAGTGGTGTCTGTGTCCTATCCTGTCTTGTAGCCTGACTGTGGATGAATTCTGAGTCCTTAAAGACAGTAAAATTATCATAGTAGATAGTGAAGCTGAATTTACAATATGTATTTGCATTCTTGCAAAAAATTAAAAAGCCTTAAAGTGCATTAGGAGACTGCACCACCGAAATGTGCAGAGTGTGTTGAAAACCACGCTCCTATTGTTTCTCAGTTTTAACTACAACATCACTTCCTCCCTCTGACACCTCAGTTGTTCTCTAACCGCAAACACTCCATTGTCTTTGTCTATTGTCTTTGTAATTCCTATTAAAATGCCAAAGCAATAATTCACGGTAGAACAGTTCAGTCCCACAAAGGTCTGCTACAGTGCTCAGGCCCTGTGTGCTTTTCCTTTGGTTTCATCCACAAATGAAAGAAAAACTTAATAAAATGTTTTTGTAACAACTCACATGCAATGCCTAACTGCACCCCCGATAGCCCTTTGACTGACCTTGTTCAAAGCAAGACTTGTGTCCCTCTCACTCCTCTGAGGGCTGCCCTGGGGAACTATCCTGACAACTTTCACTCTCCACATCATTTCCATGTGCACCTAGGCTATCGGTGTTTGGAGCATCTTCAACCACCCACTCACATACATGAACACCAGCAGGCTTAACAGGTTCTGTATCCACGCCGGCCACAGCCTGGCCCATGCTATTTTTCTCTTCCACTATCTCTTGTTTCTCAGACACCTGGCTCTCACTAGGACAGACATGGTCAGAACTTAAAATACAATCTTCTTGTGCACTGGCCTCACCCTCCAAGGCAGACGGGCCCCCTCTTCCTTCATCAAATAGTCTAGAAGCTCTAGCTGTGAGCTCCCTCTCGGTGGCCTCTCCAGCCTCCATTTGCTCACCTACAGGGCCCAAGCAGCTGTTCCCCTCTGGGAGCCCTCCCCAGGCTGGCTGAGGGGCAGGGCTGCTTGCCTCTGGAAAGCTCTCCAGTTCTACCCCACAGGTCTCTACAGAGGGAGGTTGGGCCTCCCTCTTGCTGACTTCACCCTCTTCACAATGATCCTGATGGGAGGCAGTTGCCTCCTGGGCCTCTGTGTAGATTTGTTTTTTTCCCTCTTCTTTTTCATCTTCTTGGGGCAAAAGGGTCTCCTCATTTATATCTTTTTCAATTGCTATGGCAGACTCCACTGGTACTTCAACGGTCACTGCCAACATTTTTCTGAGTTCCTTCAAAGAGCCTGAGGCAGAGCCAGATTCTGGCTCTTTTTGAGTGAGCTCTTCTTCCTCGGGAATCCCTCCAAACTCCAGCTCTGTTGAAGTTGTGTCCAGGGTTCCTGCCTTGTCCTCTGTAGCCACAAGATTCTCAGGGCCACTGATGCCTGAAACAATCACCTGCCCATCCCCACCTGAGAGAGGGCTGGACACAGGGAGAGGTTTGCTTTCCTCTTCAGCCAGTGGACTAGGGTCCCCAGGCTGCTCCCCAGGCTGTTCCTTTTCCTCTGGCTCCTGGAATACTTCATTCATCGGGGGCTCACTATCCAAAACTGCTGGCAGAACAGTAGAGGCTCTCCTGGCAGGGCTGGCCTGGTTTGACCCTGTGGGGGTTTTTAGATCAGTTAAACTGGACACACTTTCACTGGGCCAGGCTATGTTGTCTTCGAATAAGTTGTGTTTCTTCAGGACAGCAGCTTCTTTTATCACTAGGAGACACCAGAAAACAAAACAAGACATTAACCCTTTACTGTGGCCAACCTGGATTATCTGATTTTATCCAGAGGCCAAACTCCCCTTTCAGCTTCTTTGGCTATTTCTCGGTTTCAAGTTTCAGCTCACTCCCACTGTCTGTCTTGGAGCCTTCCCTGACTAATGAAGCCTGCAAACTTTTTCCCAATGCTGAATCTCTGTAACATTCATTCATTCAGCCAACACCAGTTTGCTGGGCATTACTATGGGCTAGGAGTCCCTAGGTGGTACAAACGATTAATGCACTCAGCTGCTAATCAAAAGGTTGGAGGTGCAAGTCTACCCAGAGGCACCTTGGAAGAAAGGCCTGGCAATCTACTTCTGCAAAATCAGCCATCATGCTATGGGGCACAGTTCTACTCTAACACACATGCAATTGCCATGAATCTGAGTCAACTTGATGGCAAATGATTTACTACAGGCTAGGCAGTCCTGGTGACCCAATGGTTAAGCTGTTGCCTGTGAACCAAAAGGTTGATGGTTTGAAACCACCAGCAGCTCCACAGGAGAAAAGACCTGTTCCCATAGAGATTTCAACCTAGGAAACTATATGGGGCAATTCTACTCTGTCCTATAAGATCACTATGAATTGGAATTGACTCAACAGCACACACCACTGCCAGGTAGCTGAAATCCAGAGATGAACAAAATATAGCCTTTGCTTTTAAGGAGCTTTTAAGGTCTAGGACAGTACCATCTGCATAACTCATAGAAGCCTCCATCACATTTTACTAGTTACTAACACATAAGCTCCAATTTGCCCACTTACACTGAAACCCCTCCAAGGCAGAGGCAGGGCTTCTCACAGTATCTAGGACAGTCCCGGAGCTACTAAGTCCTGAGTATGCAGACGAGAGAGCCTGGTTGACTTGTGGCCTAATGAGGATCTATGTACATCTAGCTCAGCCTTGGGAGGAGCAATAAAAATAACAGCAGCAATCAAAACACAGCTGACATTTTTGGCCATAGTCCTCAGCTTATAGTTGTCTAAGTATCCAACATTATCACATCCAAGGGGGTGCCATTCATGACACACACAGCACAGATTCGTTTTGTCCATCTCATAACTTTCTGGTAGCTAACAATAGACTAGGAGCTCTGGTAGCATTAGTGCCTAAGGCACTTGACTGCTAACCAGAAGGCTAGTGGTTCAAACCCTCCAGCCACTCCTCAGAAGGAAGGTTGGGCAATCTACTTCTGTAATGATACCACCTCAGAAACCCAAGGAGGGGTCACTATGAGTCGGGTTTGACTCGACGGCACATAACAACAACAACAACAACAGACTGTCCTTTCTAACAAAATCAGCACACAAGCATACCTCATTCTATTGTGCTTCACTTTATTGTGCTTCATAGATATTGGTTGGTTTTTTTTTTTTAACAAATTGAAGGTTTGTGGCAATCCTGTGTTGAGCAAGCCTACTGGCCCCATTTTTCCAACAGCATGTGCTTTCTTCATGTCTGTGTGTCACATTTTGGTAATTCTCACAATATTCTAAACTTTTTCATAATGCTATTGTACATCTAATAGACTATAATATAGTGTAAACATAACTTTTATATGCACTTGGAAACCAAAAAATTCATGTGACTCGCTTTATTGCAACATTAGCATTATTGCAGTGGTCTGGAATGGACCCTGCAGTATCTCCGAGTCATGCCTGTATTGTGACAGCTTTCCAAGAGAGGGTGGTAAAGTGTCTGGAGGAAGGGGAACTTTTTCTAACTCACCCAAAGGTGCTGTCAAGGCTGGCAGTGGACTGATGGAACCCTTCCTCTGTCCAGACACTTTTACATTCCTATCTCCCTGGATCGCCTGTGATCAGCTACTGGGACCTGGGGCTTGTGCTTGGCTAGTTTTCTTTGTGGATGGGTTTTTGTGATTCTCAAGACCTTCTGCATAGAGACCAGATATATTTCAGGCCCACAGTTTGATGGGTAGCCCTACTGAGGATGTTACTATCAAAGTTTCCCTGTCCCAAGCAAGGCTTGCTTCACAGGGCAGTGGGTGCTAGAGTCCTAACAAGGTTGGCAGGGTTCTGCATCACTGCCCTGTGTCTTTTCTGTCTGGCTGAAAGGAGGCAAGGAATGTGCTGAGAGAGCAGCTGGTCAGCCCTGCTACCAGACTCACCACCTCCTGACTCTGGGAGGGGTATGAGCCTGTGGCTATGGAGAGCCTTTTTGCCCTTGTTCTGTTTGCAACAGAGGAAGGAATGTAGCTCCTCATCTGAGTTTCAGCTCAACCACTTACCTATTGAGTGATCCAGGGCTTAATCTCTCTAAGCTTCAGTTTTCTCATTTGAAAGATGAAGCTTCAGATTCCCATCTCACAGAGTTATTATTTGTATTAAAAGAAAAAAATAATATCTAAAGGGCCACATGTTGTTGTTGTTATGTGCCCTCGAGTTGGACCCGACTCATAGCGACCACTCCTTGGATTTCCGAGGTGGTATCACTACAGAAGTAGATTGCCCAACCTTCCTTCCAAGGAGTGGCTAATGGGTTTGAACCGCCAGCATTCTGGTTAGCAGTCAAGTGCCTTAGGCACTATGCCACCAGAGCTCCTAAAGGGCCATACTACATTTAGTAGTATGTACTAAATCATGAATGTTCAATGTCAGTATCCTTTCCTCTTTACGTCTCTCTTCTATCGGCCTACCACACTAATGTCAATTTCCTCTTACCCTTTCTTATCTGCTGAAATATTCAACTGGCCTGCCTGAGTTCCATTTCATGGGTACTCCTCTCTTACTAAAGTCTCTGTCCCCACCTCCATTACCACTGAGTCAATTCCAAGTCATAGAAACCTTAGAGGATAGAGTAAAACTGTCCCATAGGGTTTCCAAGGCTGTAAACCTTCCTTACCTTTCAGAGTTTCATCAAGGAGGGTCTGATGTAAAATTTCCTCATAGACATTTTCAACCTGAATCATATTGGTATGATCTGCGAAGATGAACTGCTCATATTTCTGAAGTTCCTGGAGAGTGAAAGATAAAAAGATAAAGAGGAAAAGGCATGAGTTGCCTGTTCTTGGAGGAGATATGCAAAGGACAACTTCCACTCATGACCCTGCCACTCAGTAATGGGGGTGAGTGGCAGCAGGGCAGTGTTGGCCCACAGGGAGAAGATGGTCAAACAACTCAATTACACAACATTTGATTGGGTTTCCATTTGACCCAATTCACTGCATTAAGCACTACATGACCTTCACACATATACAAACTGTCCAGGAGAAGTACTGGACTAGTCCATTGGTAGGCCCTTTCCCTACACCATTCCTTGTACTAAGCTCATTTCTATGTACCTTCATGGGGAAAACACTGGAGATTTTGATCACCTCAAGGCCTTATCAGGGGGTCTGCTCCCCACTTTTTCCACCATGACCAAAGAGTTTCCTTTTTCTGCTTTTTAAAACAATACCAACAGTACTTTATTGAGGTATAAGTTACATGGAACAAAATATAGAAATTTTAAAAGTATGGCTTAATGAGTTTAAATATATAAATATATCCATCCAGATCAAGACAGGAACATTTACATCACTCCTCAAACTTCTCCCATGGTCTTTTCCAGTCTGAAAAGAGTTAAGCACCAGTCTGATTTCTATCACAACAGTTTTTGAAATTTATATACATGGAATCATATGTTCTTTTGTATCTTTTTTTTCCCTAAATTTTATTTACCTTGTTATTGTTGTTGAGAATATTCACATCAAAACACACACCACTATGGTAGTGTCCACATGTAGCATTTATGACAATTCTTCGAATTGTGCCATCATTCTCATCCTCCTTTTCTGAGTTGCTTCTCCCTCATTAACATAAACTCACTGCCCCCTAAGTTTCCCATCTAATCTTCTGAATTGCTGTTCTCATTTTGATCCCATATAGATAGTTCTTAAAAAAGCATAATGCTCAAGGCAGCCTTTTTTTTTTTTTTTTTTTCCTTTTTTTACTAATTAGTCTAAACTACAGCTTGGTTTTAAGAACTATTTTGGGGATATTTTTGGTTTAAGGTTTGAAGATTATCTCAGGGCAATAGTTTCAGGGGTTCATCCTACCTCTATGGTTCCAGAAAAGGTAGACTCCATGAGAATTTGGAATTCTGTTCTGCATTTCCCCCCTTTTGATTAGGATTCTTCTATGAAATCTTTGATCAAAATGTTCAGTAATGATACAAGTACAATCCAGCTCTGGTAAGAAACAGTTATTCATGGACGCAATTAGCCATGCATTCTATTCTCTCTTCCTATTCCTGACTCTTCCTCTTCCATTGCTCCAGGTGAATAAAGACCAACTATGCCTTGGATGGCCATTTGCAAGCTTTTAAGTCCCAAGCAGTATGCAATGAACTAGGATATAGAACAGAAGCACTAAACACGTTACTAGGCCAATTAACTGGGAAGTCTCATGAAACCATAGACCCAAAACCTATAAACCAATGAACCAAATCCCATTAGGTTTTTGGCATACATAAGCAACCTCACCAACTACTCTTTTTATGTTGTAAGTATATCTATCACACAACTTTTGCCAATTCAACTTTTTTTTTTATTGTGCTTTCAGTGCAAACTTACAGAGCAGAATTTGTTTTACATTCAACAGTTCATGTACATTTGGTTTCATTCCCCAATTACTATCCCCACCCTTAACCCACTCTCCTCCTCTCCCTTCCCAGTGACCCTCCCCCTCTCCCTGTGCCCTTCTTAGTTATTCACTCCTGTCTGTCCCGCTTTTCTTCTGTGTGAATGTTGTCCCTCTGGTGTCCCGTGGCTGATTGCTCCAAGGGATGTATCTCTGTAGAGTAGGTGGGTGCATTGCCCTGCATGTAATTCTTATTACTGCTGGGCTGAGAGCCAGCCCTTGGGAGTGAGTTTTATATCAGGCCCAAAGTGTATCCCAGGGCCATAGTCTTGGGGGTCCCGCCAGACTCCATCCGACCAGTAATTCTGGTCATTATTGGGTTTTTGAATTTTGTTCCACATTTTTCCTCCCACTCTATCCAGGATATCCAGTTTTGATCCCTTCCCGAGTGTGATAGTTGGAGCTGTGCCTTATGATCAGTTGACTGAGGAAGAGAAAACTCGTGCCTGGTTTACAGATGGTTCTGTGCGATATGCAGGCACCACTCAAAAGTGGACAGCATCAGCACTGCAGCCCCTTTCTGGGACTTCCTTAAAGGACAGTGGTGAAGGGAAATCCTCCCAATGGGCAGAACTTCAAGCCATGCAATAGCTGTTCACTTTGCATGGAACAAGAAATGGCCAGATGTGCAATTATATACAGATTCATGGGCTGTGGCTAACGGCTTAGCTGGATGGTCTGGGACTTGGAAGGAGCATGACTGAAAGATTGGTGATAAGGATGTATGGGGAAGAGG